CTCACACACACACACACACTCTCTCTCACACACACACACACACACACACACACACACACACACGTTGAGGTGGTCTGTTGTGTCAGCAGTTGCGTGTGATGAATGAGACAGTCATGTGACCTGCAGATGTTTAATGGCAGCACATGCTCACAGTGAACAGCTGATGTGTTGATGTGTCAGTTACACACATGAACTCATAATCATAATCCACACGCGAGCCGTGAAGCTCATCATGTTCCTCTCGCTGCAGCCGCTGAAGAACCGACACACACCGGACATCAGCAGCCGATTACACCAGCTGTGAAACTAGGACTAGTTCATGTGTAAATGGGCACTAACTTATTAACAGACTTCTAGACTCAGCAATGCACCATTACATTTAGTTAAAGAGTAACTCCACAGATAAACGAAATATTAACTGAAGCCTCCGATCAGGAAAACCAGCAGACTGATGGAATGATGAAATGATCTGATGTGCTGTCGGCTGTGATGGTGATGATGATGATGATGATGAAGCCGACACACACACACACACACACACACACTCACTCTGTGCTGTGGATCTCTTTCCCCTTGGGTTTATTTTCAGTATCAGATATAGAAGACTGACAGACTGCTGGCCTTTAATATCAGACTGTTTTCCTCTTTCAGGGTTTGGGAATGAAGTCTCCCTTCAGCCCATTAATGAAGCTTGCTGAATATTCTTCCTCCAGTGATGAAGATGAAGAGAGGACTAGGTAATCTCTCCGCCATGTGTTCCTCTGCTCTTAAAGTTGTCCAGTTTCAAAACAATCACACACATGGTTAATGATTGCATGCGGTTAATGACGTGCTAATTTACAATATACCTGTTTTTTTTAGCAGGCCCACTGTTAACCTGTTTAATCCCAAATTTTTCCCAAACATGAAAGTATCCAAATGATGTGTCATTAGTAACCCTTTGAAATAATCAATAATTATTTTTTTGAAAATGTTTTGGAAAAGTGTGTGAAAAATTGTGTTTTATGGTCGGTCACAATTAATGTGTATACTGAATTAACATATTTCTGCAGTCATAAAAATTGTTATATATCTTAGCCCAGCTATTGTAAACTGTGATCACATTCTAGAGTTACTATTATGCATAAAAATACCTTATACAACACTGATAGGAATACAGACAAAAAATACAACCATCAACATATTTCAAACTTGTTACTTTATTGTAAAATATATCATCAGATTTTTATATTAGTGCTACCAGTATTACAACATCAATACTGTAACTTATTTGTAACATTTGAACTTTTAATTTAGTGCAATATTTTGTCATTGCAACATTTTAGTGCAGCTTTCACTAACAACTGTAATTGGATTTATATGTAAACCTAAGTTCACTGTTATCCCACCGATCACTAACGTATTTACTCATTCTATGACCACACTCAACAAAACTAAGAATATATGTGAATTCATATATTAATACTAGACACCTTAAAAGATAATGTGGACTAAAAATCTTTGTCATATCTTTGTTAACATACTTTACTAGCCTTTCGTTTTGGAGCTTTGAAGCAGCATCATCTTCTCATGGTTCAAACTGTAATTAAACTGCTTTGCTCATGTGACAGTTTGCACTACTTTTAGTTTCATGTACTTATCAGTTATAATTACAAATATACAGAACTATACTTGCTCACACTGACAAATAAACACAAGTCAAAGTAAATTTGTACAGTTGAATATTCTAAGGATATTTGGCTTGTAGTCGTTTACTCTTTTGATAGAGTAGTCTATTAACTCTTTCCCCGCCAGCGTTTTTGATGATTTTCACTAAAATGTCATGGCCTTCAGAATATTTAGTTGTATGAATATCTGAACATGCAGTGCATCAAAATAAAGAACAGAGCCTTTACTTCTAAACAAAAAAACTGTTTTATTCAAGCATTCTTTTTTATCAACACAGATCGCTCGTTTCTGCGTCTTCCTCGCCTGTGTTTTTGATCGGCACTTTCTAGACTCATTCAGGAGATGCGTAAAATTCAGTGTTTGGCGGATAAAGAGTTAAACACTTTTTCCATACAGTACATACTGGCTTCTTTAAGGTAGTATTCCAGCATTTTACATGCTATTTTTAAACCTCCTGCCATCATCTGCTCATGTTATTACTGGACATGTGTGTAACATGCATGCTGTGTCGTACTCCAGTCATTGCAGTGTCGTCCCTCTGAGCGAGTGGCGTCATTAAAACCAATCCGGCTGTTGTTGTTCTAGGTCTCCGTTGAGCAGTGGCAGGCCGCTGTTATCCAGAGAACGGTCTGATGAGATCATTCTTCAGCTTCATCAAAGCGATAAACAGCAGCAGGTGAAGGCTGCTTCAGTCTGTTGTTTAGAGAGAGGACTGAAATAACTCATGATCAGATGAGTACAGTCCTGAAACCTCACAAACTCAGCAATTACTCTTTACTCAGAACACATGTTAGGATTCTTCAGAGATATAATGCTCCAGCACGTCTGCCTGATCACTTACCAAAGAAGCAAGTCAAAATTATTCAGGAAAATAAGGCTCTCTTATCGAAGTTATAAAACGTTATGTTGCAGAAATGAGTACACCCTCCTGAAAGTTACTAAATAAAAATGTTCTGGTGTAAGTTTAAGGCAATTTCTGATCAACAGGTGAGTGTGTTGAACCAAAACATTTAAAGAGAAGTAATTTCTTGACAATTAACAGTGTTATTTAGCCCACTGAATCATTCTCAGACTTAAAGGGTTAGTTCACCCAAAAATGAAAATTAGTCCATAAATTACTCACCCTCACGGCATCTTAGGTGTATATTAGAGGTCGACCGATAGTGGATTTTGCCGATACCGATAGCTAGGTTGGACCACACTGGCCGATACCGATTAATTAACCGATTGTTTTAAAATTGATACTGAACAAAAACTAAAATAGTGCTTTATTAACAAAACCAGTACTGAACCATACTAGTAGTAGTAGTAAAAATAATAATAATAATAGTAATAGTAAATGTTGAAATTAACACACTCTAACAAGGAGCAATACTTACACAGCTTTCATTAATCTTAATGCTACAAATGGACTCTTATTTTAAAGTGTTACCATTTCATTTCAGCTGTCATGCTTAAAGATGCACATCTTTAAATATATACACAAAGGCTATAGCATTAAAATTATATACATATGGATATTGTATGTATACTCTCAGACTTGAACTGCTTCTATTCTTGAACACTTGATGATTATCTAATCAAAATAAAAGCGCAGCGCTGAGTCTAGGAGAACTCACCGGTATCACACAC